GCTATCGCTCAGGTAAGCTGGGAGCTGGGGAACACGCACACCTCCATTGGATAGGTCACCTCAGATGAATTGGCAGGTGGCAGACGCCAAATGCCCGCGGACGGCGGGACAATGAAGCTGCGTATACATCCCACCTGGCGCCGGTTTGGGTGAGGAGACAAGTACCTCAACTGACCCCTCTCTTTCGTGGCGAGAGGCAGCCACAGGCGCCCACCTCAGTTGCCTTTTCTGCCTCTTCCCCCCACTTCCTTCCACCAAAGTTGTACCGCAGTACATCGAGGAAGAACGGTACGTACCTGCTTTAGATGATGCTTCGCAGCTTCTTACCTACGCAGTAGACCCTTTTTCTTCCCTTCCATTTCCCCTCCCCCTCCTCCATACGGATAGCACCACAGCAAAAAGCACCAGCACTTTTTCCACTTCGCTTCGCCTCCAATTGCAGTGCACGCAGCCTGCAGCACGGTTCACCTCGGACTTGGCCAGCCAAAGATGGGAATATCACGACGCGCATTGGACGCAACCCGCTCGCCTGCCCCTCCTCCGCGTTTTCTCACCACACGGACACGGGCCCAATTGTCTTAGAGTCTGTCATCATTCGCAGCCCTCTGTGCTGGGCCTGCGTTCTACCTCTATCCAGTCTATCGGCTGCACGTCTGTCTACTAGCATGGCGGCATGGCATCCCTGAGACTCGGCCGTGTAGCTGCACCATTCGAGCCAATGACCTTGATACGCAAGCAAGCTCCGGCTCGTCTTATCGGCTGATCAAGCAGCCCCCGAAACCCCTTGCTCGCCGGCCGTTCTTTCCTCCAGCTCCGCCATCGCACTCTTCTTTCTCTGCGGCGTCATCATGGGTATCATTCTCTTCCGCCTCTTACGGCAAGCAGTAACCTCCGTCAACGACAAGATCGGATCCCGTGGTGTACGAGGCGGCATCCGATGCCAGGTACAAGTATGCGCCCTTGAGCTCGCTGGGTTCTCCCTCGCGTCTGTTGTTCAAGTCAGCCTACAGACTCACACATGATGCATCTCTGCAACTCACCCCATTGGCGTCTTGTTCCTCCACTGCTTCTTGGACTCTTCGTCGACGAAAGCGGTAATCTCAGTCTTGATGTATCCGGGCGACACCGTGTTGACGCGGGCAAAATCGACCCATTCAACAGCCAAGCTCTTGCCTGTGCACTGGTCAGTCCCGTTCGGTTCCTCCACAACTTTAGCACTTACAGAGGTGGACGACGGCCGCCTTGGACGCGTTGTACACGGCTTGCGCCTGGGGGATGTTGACAACGTGAGCGCTCATGCTAGCGGTAGCAATAAAGCTACCAGTCGTGAAGCCTTCGAGCTTCTTGCCGTCGAGCGTTGTGCCCTCCTTCTTTTGCCTGCGGAAGTGCTCGCCAGCAACTTGGGCGCAGTACACGGTGCCATTGACGTTGACGGCCATGACCCTGTCGGCAACGTCCATGGGCCCGTCAATCAAAGGACCCTCTTCCCATGCGATGCCCGAGTTGGCGACAAAGATGTCGAGGCGGCCGTTGAACTCGGACACAATCTGCTGGATCGACTCCTGGATGGCTTGGTGGGAGGTGACGTTCACCGGGTACGCCTTGCCTGCGGAATGGTTAGCAACACGGTTGGGACGTCTTTCTATAGCGCCTCCACGCACACTTGACGCCGTACTCTTTCTCAATCTCAGCAGCACGGTCCAGGGCCTTTTTGTTGCTGTTGTACCAGATGGCGACATTGGCACCCGCCTCGGCGTAGGCATGGGCAATCTGCAAGCCAATGCCAGCACCAGCTCCAGAGACAATAGCCGTCTTGCCCTTGAGAGAGAAGAGAGGCAGCACACGAGTGCTTTGCGGGGCCGCGGTGGCATCGTGCTTGAAAGCACCGTCCTTCATGTCGGCCATTCTTGCGACTGTCGTGGAAAAGGGCTGGAATCTCGCGGGGTTGCTGCTGCTGCTGTTGCTGGCGACTGCGGCACGAGGAACACAGAGGACTCGGGGCCGCGGGACCGCAGCGCGAAGGGCGTGGCGGAACATATTTAACAAGCGTCGACTCGACAGGACAGGGAGGAATATTGCCGCAAGAGGGTCTCTTTTCTTCTTTTGCTAATTCACTCAAACAAGGTTCTAGGGAGAAAGCTTCACCGCACTCTAAAGATATTGAGGATTCCACTCGACGATGTACATTCACGAAGCGGCCCCCTCGAGGGAGGAGCTAATACTAATACTAGTATGGCCGGCGCGCCGCGGCAATGAGTCCCTGGCTCATGCGCCGGAACAATCGACAGCGAGGTGACGCTGTGGGGCTCAAGGGGAGGTTCCCGGAGGGGAAGCTGTCTGCTCCATGTTGTGTCGCTCCACGCTAGGACGGATGGAGGGGTCAATGAGGTGTCTCAAAGCCGTCATTGACCCTGAAGACGGCCACTAGGGATATGCCTATGCATGGCTGCCGTCGTCGCAACATTCCCTTTCCAGGCTTCTGCTGCATGTCTCAAGTCTTCTTCATCCTCGGTCGTTGCCGGGGGGTTCCAGAACTTCCAGGTTCTTGTGGGGGGAACCTGGTGCCATGGGGTCCCAGCCTTCGGGGCTATTCGGGTCGCATTGTTCCTGAACTGGGCCGTGTCCAAGTCTCTAAAGATGCGAAATGTCAATTCCCAGTGTCCACGGCGGGTTTGCTCAATGGGCCAAGGTCCTGAATCGCGGGGCCATCGGGGCTAAAACGCACATCCCCCGCCTTGACTCGACTGGCGCGCTTCTACACTACAGCCGCTTATTGCACTACAGGGGACATCGCGGGGGCACACAATGACACGAGACCCGGGCTGCCAGAAACGAAACGCGCGGGTCATCGGCCAAAACGCAGCGATTGAACGGACGAGATGATATCAACGGTTTCCTCTTTGCGCCTTTACTCGCGAACCATGTGCTCCTTCACATGCCAATGCAGCTCCGCCCAAGACCTTTGACACCCTATCATGTGTTCCGTCTACCTCAGCCAACAACCTGGTTCAGGACCTGTTCATGGGGGAAGTTTGTGTTTCTCCAACGGGAGACAAAATCATCACGGTTAACTATCGGTATTAGTTGCGTTGCTCGTGTGATGACCGGAGAAAGTCGAGATACTCACTGTAGGCGCCGGCGATGCGTCTTCTGCCCTCAAACGCACTCCTACCGTGCATCACACGCCAGTTGTCAAAGACTGAAAGACTGATTAGCATTTGTCCCGTCTCGTTTCAAGGCAAGACATGGCACCACTCACTCAAAACCTGGCCGGGCTTCAGTTGCCACCAAAATTCAACGTCGGATCTCCGGAGAATGGCATCCCACTTGCGCGCCGCTGCATACCACGCGGTCGGCGAGACGTCGTCGGTAAACGGCACCACGCCGCGGTCGTCATTATTCCACCGCACCCGCTGCAGCGTCCGCGTCTGCGGGTCAACCTCGAGCACGGGGTACCGCTTGTCGGGAGATATCGTGATGCCTTCGTTGCCGCTCGCGTGCCAGGGCAGGCGCACCTTGGAGAGGATCTCGTACGCGGCCGGGTCTTCCTTTTGCAGGATCTGCGCCGCGTAGAAGGCGTCCACGAGGAGCGATTCGCCTCCGAGCTTGCCGTCTTCGGGTAGCTGCTGTCCCGGCGGAGCCTCGTGGGAGAGCATGTGGAAGGCTTGCAGGCCGGCCGGGTCGGTGAAGTAGGTCGTGTCCGTGTGCGCCGGGAGGGCGATGTTGGTGTAGGCCGTGTCGGCCATGGCGAGGTCCGGGACGAAGTCGTAGAAGCCACCGTAGTGCGTCTCACGGATGAAGGCGATTCTCTCGAGCACGCGCTGTGTTGGTTCCGGGGTGTCGTAGGGGGTTCCGTCTACGAAGGCGAAGCCGTACTCGCGCTGTGGGTGTCAGTTGACCTGTCATACCCCGGTAGCAGAGGATTGGGCATGCTTACAATGAGGTTTGTCAACTTTGCGACGCCCGAGTCGTCCTTGTCGGTCATGAGGTGGTCGTACTCGACGACGGGGCGCCTTTCGCCCACGTCGGAGCCCCAGAAGTGGTAGCTTGCGTGGAAGGTCAGTGACTTGGTGTGATGTGATGGTACGAGATTGCCCCTTACTTGACTTGTTCCGGACTGCGGTGGTCATGTTGCAGGTAGTGCTTGATAAAGTGCCATGGGTAGAAGCTCTCGTGACCGTCTTGCTCCCCTAGTTGCGCATGACTGTTACATCCGTGTTTCTTTTACGAGAGTGTTAGAAGGGGAGGGGGGCTTGGGTGTTGCACCTACATGTCACCTTGATACCTTTTTCTTCCGACTTGATCTCGGAAGGTCTGATGTCCTGGCTAATCTACAGCTTCGTTCAACCAAATTGCCATTATTAGTCGAGTTGGGGAACGGCATTTCTGGGGAGTGGGAGGGGAACGGGTTAGGTGATTGGAAGGTTGGGGGCCATGTTGCCGGCAGCAGCAGCAGCAGCAGCTAGGAGGCACGGTGTGATCAAATGGAATAGGACAGACGGGGAGGGCTCACGGCGTATGTATCAAAGTTTCGTTGCGTGGTGTCTTGGTTCACGCATTTGCTGCATCGACAGTTGTCTCTGTGTGCCGGTGGGGTTGTGTCAATTCGGCCGAGATGATGGATTTCTGGTGCTGAGGCTTGCTGATGCGGTTGGCGGAAACGTACCTTAGCCAGAAATGGGGGCTGCGCGGTGGGAGAGAGTTTGTGTTAGTTGAGGTGTGTGGAAGATGGTCACGTCATGGTGAGGACCGGCTGGTTGCGCCGGAGCCGGAGCCGGAGCCGGAGTTGCGGCCAGGGAACCGGGGGAGCCGAGCGGGAAGACGGGGGACGGGAGGCGGGGAAAGAAGGCGGGGGTTGTGATAAGGTAAGGTAGGTGCGGTGGGTTGGGTCAGGTTATGACCGGGACTTACAGCGTTGATCTACGGGTTGATACGCCCGTCAGCCCTTCGAACTGCACGCCTTCGGTGACGACCTTTGCGTTGAGCTGGCGGGCGGCGGCGGTTGCGGAGAGGTGTCTACTCGCGGATCCAAAGGTGCCGCCACATGTGATGCGGCGGGGTGGTGCTCCGAATGCAGAAGCGGAACGCCTAGAACGGGGGAGTGAGACCTTCACGTGTCACACATGTGGACGATGACTGTACTACATACCTCGCGGCTCGGGGTGCAATGGTTCTCCAGGGGAGCATTTTGGAGACCTACAGACGAACTAAAGGGGGAAAAGAAGCACTCTAGAGCCCAATTGGGTGGTGAGGTTCAGGTCCTGTGGGATGGAACTCTGATAACGGGCCGAGAGGAGGGTGGGAGGGAAGATGTAGGATAAGGTAAGGTAAAGTTGGAGAGAATGAACTCTGGGAAATGGGAATTTGGAACCCGGGATGATTTTGGTTGGTTTGTCTGAGAAATGCGACGGAGGCGGGATCTCGCGGGGGATCGGGAGGGGCTCTGGCCTCTGGGGAAAGCTGAGAAAAGCCGAGAACAGGCGGGATTGGTACCGCTGGAGATGCTGTGGTTTTGGCACTGACATCAGCTGATTGCCCCTCCGTACTTACCGTACCCCTGTCCACTGCTTTGTTGCCATGCCCTGAGGATGGATTATGCCTCGGTCTAGCCAGTCGATTAGGTACCCGTTGAACAAAGCCCGGGCGGCCCCAAGTGGACATTTCAACTGTGGATGGGCTGAGTTGGGGAACAAGAGTTCTGGCTGGAGTTCCTTATGGGAAACATATCGTGGCATCTTGTGCTGCTCCCTCGGTGGACTGGTGCTCTCTCGCGTGTCATGATGGGCTACATCATGCCATCACTTGAGCCTCCACTGGTAGAGAGACTGCCTCATGGGGAATCCCTCCATAAGGTGGTAGGATATGCAGTCGCAGCTACGGCCTGGATTGACGCTCGAGTGAACAATGTTCCATATACCATGCCGTCTAGCTAAGTACACTCTAGGCGGCAGAAATGCTCCACGATCAATTCGTCCGATGGTCCTAGTGCAGCTTGCACAGGCTCCGGCCTCAACTTCGGCCTCAACTCCGGCTCCGGCTTCCGCTCCCCAGAGGTGAGACTCGGAGGGCCGGAGCAGCCCCCATCCGGCAGCGTAACTTCTGAGGAGAGATGCCGTCCCCGGGGAAAAGCGCGTCATTCGGGCAGTGTTGGACAGATGGCCGGCCTTCAGTCCGCCGCCATGACACAACCTCGCAGACGCTCATGGGCATAGCCCAACATTTCGGCTCCCCCGATCAACGGCGTATCTTGCTTCGTCTTCCCGCCATACCACCTCCAGCGTTACCACTGCCAGACAATTTCGCCACGTCGTCAAGAGTATGCCTCGCTAGGCCCAACCGCGTTTGATCGCCCTTCGTCCAGACCGTCTTTCGAGGCCCTCTCTCACAGGTTACACGCCTTCCAAATCCCGGACAGGTGGGATTTCGCCCAGAGGGTCCAAACACCATAGCCGCCGTGACCGTTCTCCCGGGACACCTATTCTCACCTGCCTCATCGACAACCACCCGATTTTCGGGTCCTATCATCACCATTGTGGCATCCGGGTCCTGTACCCAGACCCTCTCAAGAAAAGGACAAGGAACAACAAGCGCCAGACTGCCACAATCGGCCTTCAGGTCAACCTCCTTACCCGTTCTGGCCATGTCTTGAGACGTTGCAGGGTGCAGCTTGCAGCAGACCCTCATGGCCGTCCACTCACATGACCTAGACGGCGCCGACAGAACGGTAAATTAGAAATTCTTCCTCCTTTCTTTGCTGTGTTGTCTCCTGCAGGTTGGCGTTTGCTGTTGTTGGAGCGGCGTTGGGGGTTTGTAAAGTGTTCGCGCGTAGACGGCTCGTGTGATTGGTCGCGCTTGGCGACGACGAGGACCGAACGTCGAAACCCCCCCGTCATCGCGGCAGAGCATGTTCTGCGGTTGGTTCAATTGTTAGTTCTAACCAACGGCGTCTTTTAGTTTGCTTGTCTTGGCTGTTGTAGACGAGGCACTGATATACCGCGATGTCCTCTACATGTATGTTCCGGCCGAGTGGCTTTTCCTTGAGTTGATGGTCTCTGTCTTGGTTGGATTCCCTTTGTTATTACGATCTGTCTACCATTCTACATCTCTTTGATTCTCTACAACTGCTCTCTTTTGGGAATCCTCTTATAATCTTTGCATAAACAACATGGCCTCGGTGGGAAGCTGGCGGAGGCTATGCATAATAACTTGGCTTCTCTTCATCGAAACATGCGTCTCCGGACTGCAGATAACACCCCTATCGCTACCAACATCAAACTCCCATAATATTGACAACCAACTTACACCAAAATCAACATTGCGAGCCGACGCTAGCTGTCCCGTCAAAGGCTACACAGCCTGCGGCAGCGGCATGGCAGACTACTTTTGCTGTCCCAGCGAAACGACATGCATGGTGCTCGCGGAGAAAACCACCGCCCTGTGCTGTCCAAAGGGGTCTTCGTGCGAGACCATTTCGCCCATCACCTGCGACGTTACCTTACAAGACGTAGTCGAGAACCCGACGAGCCCGATCCATACCACTAGACTGAAAGAGTCTCTGCCGCAGTGCGGAAACAAGTGTTGTCCCTTTGGGTACACATGTCGAGGCGACTCTGCCTGCGTCTTGGACGACAGTCAGGAGGGGGAGGGGTCTCAAACTTCCAGCACGTCAGTCTCATCCACAAAGACGAGGACAAGGACTGTGACGAGCGCGACGCCGACGACGGCTACCCAGGCAGCGACGACGACGACAGTGATCGAGACACTTCCAGCTGCCTCGTCGACACCATCCGCAAACCCAGGCGACGACCTCCCTACCCCATCAGCAGTAACACCCCCCTCAGAAACCACCCCCGCCGCCGCAGCAGCCGCCTCCCCGAGAAACTCAACATCAGGCGGCATCATCGCAGGCACCACCGTCGCAGCCATCGCCTCGGTAGCAGGCCTAACCTGCCTCCTCTGGTTCAAGAGACGCTCCATCTCAGAAAGCGTCGGCTCCGCAAAATTCCCCCGCCCCTGGCAACAACTACGCCAAGACGGCTCGGACCAGGACGTCTCGTCGCTGCCGCGGTACAACTCCCCGCCGCCGGCGTACGCCGTGGAGATGAAGCCGCCGCTGGCGAAGCCGTACACGTGGAAGCACTACAGCCCGGACTCCTTTGGTCGCGACCGCTACGACGGCCGTCGCTACGACGACCAAGACGACGGCAGCGTTCCCGTCCCCGTTTCTGTTGCGCTCGCTCTCGCTGTCGAGCTGCCCGCCACGCCGGTTTCTTTTAGTCAGTGGCGTGTTCGGGAGGAAGGGGAGACGACGAGGCCGAGGTCTCACTATGAACCATACCGGCGTCCTTCATGATTGGAGATGTCTTTCTTCAGGAAGGCTTTGTCCCTGTCTTGGGTGATTCGGTTTCTGCTTTTTGATAGACTAAAAAGTGTTCTACCGATTTTCTTTGTGTTGAAATGCTTGCGCTTGTCGAGCAAACAACTTGTTACGACAGATATGAGACACGTTTTCTGTACACTACTAGGAGATATGGGGGGAGAAAATCTAGAATGGGATCATGAGTTCATCTGCCTACGAGTGTGAACCAAAGCCTTCTCGCTTCTTTGATGCAGTGTGTTGATATCGCAAGGTCCACCATGAGATTGATTTAATGCCCTTGATGTTATATCAGTCTTAGGAGAGACTGTAGTAGCCCAACCAGCCTGCTAAAACCCAAAGCGTACAACTCCAGTCATGTCGAACACCTCAAAATCGTAGATTCAACACTAGCTCAAAACGTAGTAGAGAAGGGCAACCTTTTCCCCCCTTTCGAAATGCCTCGGCCAACGACGGACAGGGTCATCCACGACTACACCGCAAAGATCCTCCCCGCGACAATGATCCTCACCCTCGTCATCTTCACCGTCGTCGTCCTAGTCTACAGCATTGGTGAAAAGGCCGCCGTGCCCCGGGACGCCGCCGTCGCTTTCGCCGGCATCGTCTTTGGCTTCTCAGGGTTGTGGCTGTTGGGACACCTCGTCATGTACTGCCGCGGCGCGCAGGCCGTCTCGCCTCCGCCTCTGGCTTTGCCTCTGCCTCTAACGGGAATTGCGACTGGGATCGGCGACACAGCGATGGCTGTCCCTCAGGTCCCGCGGGCGGCTGTTGAAGTGGTTGTGCCTCCCACGGTCCATCTCCACCACCACCAGCAACAGCAGCATCAACGGGTTTATCAGCCGCCGCAAGGTTTCCCCCCTCAACTTCAACCTCACTCACAACCGCAGGATCAGTCTCACCGGCAGGTACTACCACCGCAGCAAGAAAAGCAGCACCAGCAACAGCGGGACCAGCAACAGCACAAACCACAACAGCGCGAGCAACAGCAACACAGGGGCCAGGAGCGAGAGCAACAAGCAGAAGCCGAAGGGCCGGTACAATTAGCCCGGGAGGAACAGAGAGAGCATGAGCCCCGTCGGAGACTAACAGACCATGAACCATACGTCAAAGAGCCGCCTTATCCCGAGTCCCCCCCTGGAGCATATCAAGGGGGGTCGCAGGAAGAACGCAAGAAGCCAGCGCAGCAACAAAAAGATCAGCGGAGGCAACAGCAGGTAGAGCAGCAGCAGCCAAAGCAAGGACGTGAGATCTCCGGGCCTCTCGAGAACGTATGGCAGAAACGACCAAGCGCCCCCGAGAACCAGCCTGCTCCCGTAACAGTCCCCGGCCCTGTCCAGCAAAGACAGCAGCCAAAGGGACCCAGGACTATGACGGGGAAACCACCCGAACCTCCTGAGCGCGTATCCAGCCTCCAGAAGTCGTTACCCGGAACGCCGTCCCGAAGACATCGCAGCTCGAGCTTGAGTAGCTCGCGGGTTAACCGGCCTGGCCAGCTATCAAGGGGAGCATCGAATATTCCGAGACCTTCTCGGGGTGGACGTCCAGAAGACACTTCCAGCGCTCCTTATGAACGAGGTCGTCCACGGGTAGATCGCAGTCGTCCAGTCCAAAACCAAGACATCGAACCAGAACCCAGGTCTGCTTCGATCAGATCGACAAGCTTGGACTCTGCTACGCGGACATCTTTGAAGGTGAATGCGGCCCCTGAAACTTGTGAGAGTCCCTGGAGGGCTGACTCTGACCAGCCCGCCCCCTTGAACATCGCGAAAGAATCACCATCCAACCTTGGGAGGCCGATTGAAGAACCAAGAGTCATCAGTGGCCACGCCTCTCTTTCAAGTCGACGATCCGACCAGCTTGAATCTGGCCCCCGGAGTCGAGGAGCGCAAGGCCAGACCGTTGCCAAACACAGGGCACCAACTATTCGCGAGGTGCCTCCAACGCCACCGAACGAGTTCGCAGCTCCCGTTCAGCCCGCTCAAGACGAGGTACGTGATCGGCCCGTCCCTTCTTCTGTACCCTCTTCTTCATCTTGGTCGCCTTCTCTCCCCCCTTCTCGTACCCCGCCAGCCCGCAAACCTCCTTCATTGAATTTTGACGACATGGACATCATTCAGACACGCGAAACGACAGTGTGTGAGGACATCCGCCAATCTATGTCCGACGTTGGTAAATCAATACGTCGTTCTTTCACTAATTCTCGTGCCAGCAATTCTGATGGCCGTGGGAAGCCTCGTAGTATCATGACGGACTTTCAGACCAATGTCGTCTTCATGCCAGACTACAACTTTATGGCCACTGAGCTTCTTAATCCCGTATGTCACGAGAATGGAAGTTTTCCTTTCCTGGGGTATTGTGAGGGAGACGGAGAAAAGGCTGCATCTGGGGAGGAGCTTGAGTACAGAGGTGATGTCGTTATGGTCTGCAGTTCGGATGACGCGGGGCAGTGGCTTGTCAAGCTTGTAGAGCTGGCCGAATCATCTAATGAGGCGGAGGGTGATATTTTGGAATAGACGTGTTTCGTAGGAGAGTTTTTTATCTATAGATCTTGTTCAAATGGAGGATGGACACGCCCTTCAATTTCTGGGCTACCATATCTTGAATCCTTGATGAGTGTTCATGCTGGGTCAGATGTTCCGTAGCTCTTCCCCGCATCGTTACCAGTCTCCGTCCGAGTTGATTCAATTAAAGGAGGGATTAACTACATAGTAAGTGTTCAGTTGTTGGAGGTTTAAGTTGCCAGCTGTGAGTGAGGGGTAGCCGGAGCTCCAGGATGAAGCTCAGAGCATCACACCACATTGGGTTCCGTCCACCTATCAAGACTCGAAGTCCAACAGATTTCCAAATACAATTGCATGGCATGCATGGAGCATGCACCACACAAACCAGAAGACGGAGAAGTGTTCGGAGACCACGGAATGACTAATCTGTAACGTAAAAGCTACCTGAGGGAGCATATCGCAGAACTCAACCTTGGAAAGAGTACGCGACTGTTGTGAACATCACTTGGATGAACGCTTAACATGGCAGAAGCCCAGGCATCAAACGAGTCATCATGGACCGATACGATCTACAACCTCAACCGCGGGGACGTTGACGGCGAGCGCGAGCGCCTGGCTGACAACCACTTCAAAGTCTGGCTGCCCCTCACCGTCGACCTCCTCCCGCCGCACATCCTCTCATCTCTCGAACCAGCAAACCCAGATCGAGCCCCTCGAATCGCAGACGTGGCAACGGGAAGCGGCGTCTGGCTGACATCTCTCGCCCAGCTCGTGCCACAAGACTCGGAGCTCTACGGCTTTGATCTTGACGGGCTCAAAATGCCCCAGTCGCATAGATCAGGAGTATCGTTTAACTTCGTGGAGCACGACGTTCTCAAGCCGTTTTCGGCGGAGTTCAGGGGCACGTTCGACCTTGTCCATGTGAGACTACTCGCACTGGGGCTGAAGAAGGATGATTGGGACGTCGCTGTGAGCAACATGCGCGAGTTGCTGGTGCCGGGCGGGTGGCTTCTCTGGGAGGACATGAGTGACCTACTCATCAGGTTCTATCCGCTGAGCAGGGCGTATGAAGAGTTCTGGTGGGTTACTATGCAGCACGACGCGAAGGTCGGGAGGGATAGACTGTGAGTAGTTCCACTGCCGTTGCCTTGCTTTACCCCTTCTTCGCCTCGAGTCATGAGAAGCTCACTGCTCACACTTCCGACAGAATGCCGATGGGCCTGCTCAAGAAGCTTCGAAAGCTTGGGTTTCAGAACTGCGAGCAAGAGATCTTCAACTCATGGGCCGCAGATGATTCGGTTCGAGATGAAGCTACCTCGGGGATCATGCGTCTTATTCGACCTTCGCTGACGTCCATAGTTGAAGACGGAGGAGAGGAGACGGTCAAGACGATGGAGGATGTCACTCGAATCGAGGCAGAATTGAAGCGTGATGTGGAGGAAAAGGGGTGTCGAGTTGGCTTTGATTTCGTGTGGAACTGGGGACAGCGAGCTTGATAAGGCTGATCCTGCCCTCCGTCCACTTCTCAAAGATAGGCTGCTCCTTCATCTCATATCTACGGTCAACCCATCTTTGTTACGCTTCAATGAAACCAGAGTCCACCCAGCGGAAAGCCCACGCTGCCACCCCGTCGATCCAAGTAAGGGCATGGTGTGGTGAAAGACACCTGCTCTGTTCGCCTGTTCTGGCTGGCCTCTGCCTCTTCCGCTTACACGCTGAGATGTACGAAATCGGTCTCCTCGTCGCGAACGCTTAGGGCTCCATCACTACAGCGCTTATCTCTACAGTGCCTTGCGTAGCGAGCGATTGGCGAAGGCTCCGTGGCCCGATATAGACGCCGTGACGCCGTGCTTACCCTGCTCGGCGATTCCGGTTCCCGGGCTGGAGACCAGCGCTCAGTGACTCTCGACGATTATCACCAAAAGTTTTGCCTTCGGATGACGTTATCCCCAAGTTATGCTGTGTGGGCCGGTCAATGGCCGAGTATAGGAAGCTTGATCGCTGGTGCAGTAGCAAGATATACATCCAGACGACCAGTCGTTGATAGACAGCAGATCAATACAAACCGGCTTCATCTTCCAGCAGGAGTCTGTTCAACGCTCAGAAAGGGATGATGTGATACTTTTCACCTCGCCGTTCAGGTTACCCCTGAAAACGCAGGCTCTGACGTCTCTGGCGGCGATTGGCACATCTTCTTGCTATCAATGTACTCTGTGTACAACTAAAGCACAGCTGAAGGCAATTTCAGCCACAAGCAGACCTTCTCTACGCGCTTCCTCAATGACATTAGTGTATTAATCAAGGTATATACGGAGAGCGATGATGAGTCTAGGCTGGTACCAAGGTCCCAGGGTCGAAAGACATGCTGATTGATTGTAAGAAAGAGCCCAGGGCTCTTAATACAGCAGCTCGGCCGTAGTGCCGCCTCTCAAGAGGCCTGATTGACAGGTCTCTTGCTCCAAGTTCTGCATTGCTCAGAATCTCGACCGCGGTTCGAACCATAATGTGTCAGGACTTTTAGGAAAACACTTCGGGCCCGGGAGAAAGCGGCGACGGCAACAGATATCACAATCTGAGTTCCGCGGTCCGGCAGGTTCGGGTTTCAAACCGGCCTTCATCACAAAAACAATGCAACAGCCCGCTCGGAAGTACGATACACCCCTCTTGGCAACTAGACATCTCCGGGGGGCCGGTGATTGAGTAGCTCATAAAACACAGTGTGTGACGAGGACCATATGGGCTTGCCGCCCCGGATCACTTCCCATGGACAAGAGTCGAGTCGCACGTCCCCTTTCCATCAGTTTAAACTTCCCACCGTGCCCCTTTAGCTAGCACTTCAAATTACTGACTGCGAGTCACAATATGCTCTCACAACTTACCAGCCATACAATAGCTAGAGAGAGAGCCTAGAGGAGGTGGGATGCAGAAAAAAACCGCGCAACCCGGAAAGCGTCAGTGCAAAACCTCACCAGTCCGAGAGCCCGCAAATGACAACAAGACATAGCTGGAGGTCATTGCTTTCTTCCCGAGTCTCGCGGATAACGAAGGATTGGGAAGGGGGAAACTCGGACCTCCCGGACACCCGTCGAAATGCCAACCGCGCCAGCGCAGCTGTTGAAAGGCGTCAGTGCCGGTGAAGTCTTTGCATGACAAGAGCGGCCGTGAGCGGTCGCGATCATTGCGCTGTTCATCTCCCGGCTAGACCATCACAATGACAGAATGTTGCCCCCCTCTGACTGTGTGCGTGTATGCGTCCGAGGTTCTCACGGTCTGGGCGGCATCGCGGGCGTGGTGAGAGCGGGCAATGGTTGCCGGCGGGAAGATGCCAGCCTGAGGTAGCGACTTGTCAGACATGCTCAAGGTCTGGACTTGGAAGATATCTGTGCTGCGAGTCTGGCGCCACAGCGGTCGTGTCATACGGAGAAGGAAGAGACGGATTGTGATAACGTACAAGCACGGAGGACGTCAGTGAGCCTCATGGCGGGCAATATCCGAAGTTTGGTAATCGTCATGAGGCTGAATGATGGACGACATCGGGGTTTGAGAAAAGAGCCTCTTTACAAGGGCCCAAGTGCAAAGAGCCCGTAGGGATCGTTGCCAGCGACAAAAGCCACAGCATCAGATACTGGACCATCTTCAATCTTTGAACGTTCACATTGTCGCAAGGCTGAACCCCGTGGCTGGATCCCAATGTTCATCATCGGCAAGCGCTTGTCCATACCTCAGGACGATGGGGGAGGCAGGCCACGGCTGTTTCGAAATTCGAATCCAAGGACCTGACCCATCGGAGTGGTGGCTTGTTTGAGATCTTCTCCACTGATCGGAAGGATGCGAAAGCCACGAGTAGGCCCTTGTCGGAGGCGAACGCCTTTCCCACGATGAGATGAGGCCATCGCGATGCGTTGTTTCTTCACCACGAGGCCAAATGCTTTCCAACCCACCTTTCGCTCTCAGACGAAAAGCCACATCTAGCAAAAGGGCCACAGAGATGCTCGTGAAACTCGCTTCCCGATCTCTCCCATCTCCGCGGGCGCCGAAAGAGACCACTCGCACCCGTCCGTCGATTCGGCGCCCGCTTGCCTGAACTGATCTCCCGGATCCGACTCTCATCCTTCCCAGGAATTATCAGCAAGCCGTAAGCTATCCCCCATCTCTTCATTTGCTCGGACGACAGCCAACTAGAAGGGGCTCGTTACTTAGACAGCTCCCCCCTTCCCATCCACGCCGCGCCACGATGGGCAGAAGGCCGTCTCTCTCCTCTCGTGGCGCGGCGTCTTTGCGCGCGCTAACAAGCCGCCTTGTGGGCATGGCAATCTGGCAGCCTTGAGAGGTGCCATCCCAACTTTTGATTAAACACGGTGGCTAGCGGTAGTGCTCGGCCGCAAAAGGGGAGCACGAGGGGTGTAGACTTGGCAAAAGCACGAAAGGAGAATGAGAGAGCCCGGACTTACACTGGGCTCGGACCCGGAGGCGTGGGCTGGTGACGGGGACGGCCTCTGGACAGCGAGGACCGGTTCGCTACTACACAATCGTTCCTCATCTCCACGGCGTGCGTGCTCTCTGGTTCAAATCTCCGCCCCCGTAATCCGTCCAACGCCTGTGCAGGAATGAGTGACTGGTAGAGGACTGCAAAATCCCGTTCCGAGTCAGGCGTCACTCGAGCCCTCCTTTTACCCAGATTCCGGTGTTCTGGGAACGAGAAATCGGAAAAAGTGGAAGCCAAACTGCCATGTCTCGCACGAGCACATCAAAGGATCACGGGCACAAGGTCCCCGTGTTGCCCTGCTCCCAGCCATCGGATCACACTACAACTGTCCCGGCATCACGCAAGACTCCCAGCCCTGCCAGCCACAACATGTGGTCGAAGAGGTCATCCAAAGTTGAACGAGACATAGAGAAGAACCGCGACTACTGCAGGGTTCTGGCCCGACGACCCGACTAAGTCGCGACGACGGATTCGAACGCGTAGAAGGAAAAGAAGGCTTTTAGCTAGAAGAGCCACCACTACCTGTTTTGCCCACTGGGCAGAGAGGCTGGCTGGGAGACCAAAGGCTTTTAGCTCGGGGTTGCTTCTGCGTGCCCCGCAACCAGCAATTTAGAGCTTTCCGAGCCGCCGGATAGGAGCAACGGGCGAGCAGCAGAAAAGGGAAAAAAAAAAGTGTACGGACGGTAGAGAAAGCTCCAAGTTGTTTGGCTGAACCAAACCTGGGGGCGTGATGGCGCTGAGCTGGGAAGCTCTGGACGCTTGCGTCGCACAATCTTTTTGGCGGCGGCTGGTGGCTTTTTTTTTTCGATCTCTCTGAGAGTACTTGGGTATCTCTCGCTCTTCGTGACCACGCTTTCCAGAGTGCGCCAGCGTCGCAAATGGTGACGGGCGTGAAGCTAGCGGGCTCTTAGCCTCCCGTCGCGGTGTACAGATGAGCATGCTAAGGCACAGTACACGCACTTGAGGGCATGTACCCCATCTCCCATGGCTTCATGAGGAGCCTGTTGGCTGGCGGTCGCAATGGAGCTAAGAGGTAGCCGGTCTCTGTGGCGCGGGTGCGCTGATGCGTGACCGTTGGCACATAATGCCGCAAGCGTCTTGAGCGTGAGGTAGGAAAAGGGGCACCGAAAGGAGAGGACGAGAGATCGGGGACGGGACGGGGGGATCCACTAATCCTGCTTGGTTCGGCGGTTGGCCGGTACGGGTGCGGAGGACGGTGCGGACGCTGATAGGTGCAAGTGGGCGAGCCGGAGGGGTGGAGGAGCACGAGGGGGAAAAGGTGCAAACTGGCCTATCCCGTTGGCCGGTGCGACTCTGCGCCGCCGCGGGGGGGCGAGAGAACCTGAAGACGATCTTAATGCGCACGCGTTAAGTTTCCCTTCTCAGGGAAGGTGAAGCAGGTAGGTCTGGGGAACGGGTGGGAGAAAGGCGGCTGTTGGCTCGTTACGGTTGCAACCGAATGCATACCCCTTTTTAATCGATGTATGCGTGACTTTGCATCCATCCCCTTATTTCTTTTCTTTTTCTTGCCCTTTTGCCTGTCTACCTACCTTCTTTGGGCTGTGGAGGCGTGGGCGACTTTTCTGACCGTTTGCAGGGGAGCTGAAGGAGATGCAGGTCCGGATGGGGATACAGAGGCCGACGTGCTGGAAGGGGGGGAGCAAAGGGGGCCAAGACTTGGAGGCTCAAGGGCTTGGAGAGAGAGGCGTTCCGTTCTACTGCGCGAGACCTGATCTGACAATGACATGGTGCTGTAAGGTACATTTCGTCCTAAGCTCTGATAGTCCAGTCATTGCACAGCGTCGGTGGATGTGCGGATCATGGATGCGATGCAATACAAGGCTGAGATGATAACGAAGACGACGACTCCGTACGACGGGACGGCAATGAGATGTGATGCGAGGGTAGCGAGAGGGAAAAGCCGAAGGGCCCTGCTCGTTGGGAAATGATTGGTGGCTCCCCCGGTGGGCGAGTCTATGTGAGGCAGACGTCGACATTGGCCGATGCTATCCCGCATCTTTCGATTGTGAAAGAGAGCATGCCCTCTTTGTCTCCAACGTCTCCATTCAGCACGGTTACATTTGACAGCTTTCTCCACGAAGAACTGCACAAACAACCCTTGAAGGGATGAGGGGGACCTCGGCCGAGTTCGTATGATGGGGCGTCCGAGAGTCAAGTCAACCCAAAATCAAATCAAACGAAACATTGAGCAAGACAGCAGACTGTGTGGGCATCACTCAGAAAGGTCGTGTCATTATTCGGGGTTGGCCGGAAGGGAAAAAAAGGTTTCCTTGTTCCTGCAATGTCGTGCAGATGGGTGGATGGGACCTCGCTGCTCGGCTTCTCCATCACCGTTGAACAGGTCCACCAAAGTCGAGTTACTCTTTTGAGCCATCGTGATAGATAGAGTCGAACGACGAAAAGATGAAGATGAAACAGATGTCGACTGGGGTATTCCGAAGATGGGGAGGGGGGAAACGACTGGGAGTTCTAAATGAGTGGAGGGCGGGTGCAGCGTGCATGGCGCGTTCTGCAGGTACAGGCTCGGCCAAGTACGGTTGCGACGCTGCTCTTGATGCTGTAGACTATCCGTACGAATATAGAGTACATACGAATATAGCTTGGCGATTCGAAACCTGTCAATCTGTGTGTGTGCCACTCTCCCGCGTCTGTAGTGCCAAGTGCTTGTCATCCGACGTCTGCTGGATGACTGATCAGTTTCTTGATATATCCATTACCACCATGCCATCCCGCCCACGGTCAACCCGGCCAATGTTCGTGTCGCGGGGGCCACAAACCACCAGCAGAATCGGAGATGGGGGCGCGGGAAGACCAAGAGACGAACGGAAGAGAATACATGCATAGATCCAGGGGTCCCATCCTACGCGGCTGACCTGACTTTGAACATGTCTTGGACCCCACAATGCAATGCAGAGTATAACTCCTCCAGTGTTGAGCTGCCTCTCCCCATGTGGACTGCTCAACCTGCGACGCCAGAACCCCAGTCCACCTAGCTCTGTTCAGAGAGCAAAGCGAAATGAGCAGACACACCAGGGGAAGCACACCGCCAAGCATACCTGCCACCCATTGCCCTCTTGACCTTGACCTTTCCAGGCTTCAGCCACTCCCAGAGCTTTCTTACTACGGAAGACGGAGGAAATCGTAGATCTGCAAGTCGGTGAGCGACACGAAGCGAGAGGCACTGTATGGAGATCTCATGGTCCCCCCCTGGTCCCCTAATCCCCTGTCGTTTCTGGGTTCGTCCGCCCGAGGTCTTCTTAGCCTTCTTCACTGTGTGGGCTCTCCTCTGGATGGATACACAGTAAGCTCTGTCTCTCTCTTCTTCCTTGTCGCTCTTGTCCTTTTCGCTCCCCACACGGGCGCAAGGATAGGGGACTCATGTATCTGCGGTAACGACGTTTTGACGGCTGATGGAAAAAGAAATGGCGAGGAAATCGGGGGCACGACAAGGGGAAGCTGATTTTTTTCTTCCTTTCTTTGGGGGCAGGCAATGAACAACGACATGGGAGGGGTGTGCTATACGGACAGACTGTACTGAGCACGGAGCGGGAAGAAACGCAAATGGTAGTGTAGACGCGTCGGAAATGTGATCCGTTGACGTTTACATTCAAGCTCTCGAGAAAGACTCTGCAGAATTGCAGTGCAGACCGCTCATGTTGGGGGGCCCCGTTCCTTGTTGCCAGGTACCGGACAGAGGCTCGTAGCAATCGGTGTAAGCCCGTTGGCTGAAGCCTCACCGAGAACCGATACTCGAGTCTCCTCTCTCTTCCCCCAGAGATGTCGAAAGTCTCACCCTCACATCTCGCACACAGACAAAGGACGCAAGGGGCGCATACGGGATACGGATACACACGCGCACATACAATCGCCGCTAGAGATGCACAACACCCGCAGGCAAGGCTCACTGACTCTGGGTTGCCCAGTGCTGAGATGACGGGATGCCAAACGAAACGAACACTGGTCCGTGTTTTGTCCTTGACTCAGGTTTGGGTTCCCTGGGTCCTCTTCGACTCTGAACTCTGACTAAGGATCTGTACGACCAGAGGAGCAAAACGCGACAACGAAGTAGACAGATCACCGTGAAAATTCCCCATGATGAAGAGAGGGTCCTGTTAGTAGTTCCACCGGGTCAAAGCGCGAGAGAATTGCAGCTTGCCTTGCCTTGCCTTGCCTTACGTAGTATACAGAGAGATCAACAGCCGCGACATCCCGACGACGATGATATGACAAGTCAGGGTCTTTTGGAGGGGTGAGGGTTCTCTCGCCTTGCATCGCACGGCAGAGTACGCCATCACACTCGGACTCATGAACATCGCAATGTTAAAGAATCGCGGGGAGGCGGCGGTGAAGAATAGTGGCAATGGCACGGGGGACGGGATCAACGCACTATTTAACTCCATCGTTTTGCATTACTAGAGGATTACCGCAGTATATATAGACGCTACCCTACCCTCGAATTCCGCACTATTCAACCTTAACCTTTTTTATAAATTACCTATCCTTTTCTCTATTCTACCCTCTCCCTTATTAAAAGATCGCTAGAATCGCAGTTTTAATAGCTTATTAATAAGCTAATATTATTATTTAGAGGTAAATAACTTACGTTTATATATAAGTACTAAGAATCTTATTATTATAAAAATAGTAATAAATATACCGGAGTACTTAAAAAAGCTTTTTAATAAACTTTTAATATTATTTAAAATTATAGTCCTCGAGCTATAAAAAGAAGCTAAAGCGCTATATTAACACGGCCCTATTTATCTTATTAATACTAATAATAATCTTTTTAATATAAAATATATTACTAATACTCTATAGTTATATTACTACTCTTTATAAATCGTACTTAATATTAATAAGGATTTTAGCATTATTTCTTAGTTCGTTTTTTAGTTTTTTTATTAAAACCGTTATTATAAAGTTAATTTAGTTATTAATATTTTAATAAGTATTTTAACTTAACTTAGAGGCTCTTATAGCCTTTAAAAAGAGGCTTTTAAAGGACTTATAATTAAACTTTTTGCTTATTATAAATAAAGCTATTATAATTAAAATTATAGTACTAATTATAAACCTTAATAATAAGTAATTAGTAATATAATTATTTTTCTCTTATAGCGAGCTTAAAAAAGTATCTTAATTTAAGTACTAAGTAAGTATTATATTATTTTATTAAAACTATATTCTTATACTTATGACTTAGAAAGAATTAACTTTCTTCGATAATAAGGTACTTAGACGGGATCAACGGAGCCACACCACACCCAGAGCCACACTAGGCTGGGATCACGAGCGATGGATATCTGCCATCCCCAGGGTTTCCGAATGGAACCTCATTTCACAGCTCCCACTGGTGTTGAGAACTTGGAGCTTGGACAGAGAGAGGGAAACGAACACCCCCCCAGCTCCGCCCGCGGATCGGAATCTACCTCGCACGACGCCAAGACGCGTTCGCAATCTCCAGACGGCGAAGATAGTGCCTTCATCCCGAGGCTTCCATTACTTGGTGGTGAGGCTCTTTTTTCTGGTCACGCCGCTAGAGTTCGTACGATATATTCCATCGTCGACTAGCCAGAAAGTCTAGCAGGCTTCTAGCCTAATTCACCCACAACGAGAAATTGCGGCGAAACGGCCCGTGGGCTTTTTCGGACGAGCAGCCTCGTAGCCTGTAGGTAGCTTTCGCGGTGGTTCAAATTTCTGCAGGATTCCCCTTTGGGAATCGCGTGATTGAAGGGTGCAGTATTCTTGTGGTGCTTGTTCTCCCGGGAAGCCCCCAGCACCAAGAGCTGATATAATCTGATTAGCTCGAACGGGGGACCGTGTTGGTGATTTTGATTCTTGCTGCTTCAGATTGATTGCGTAGATAGGATGTGGGGTTGGCCCGAAGCTAGGGATTCAGGAATAGGATTTCCTGCGGCCCTAGTTAAATTTGCGGGCAAACCGAGGGAAGGCCAAGAGCTTTCGATCAAGACTCGTGTGGTTCTGCTTGGCGACGCTTCTTTTTGATTGAGTTCGTTTGAGTTTCGCTGCTTCTTCTTCATCAGTCATGTTGCAATTGACTTTTTTTTCGTTCAGGAAGCACCGGAAATGGCAAGAACACAAAAGCACACTGACGGCTGAGTGTCTATACATCTATATTATCGCGAGCCTCGGCGCGGCTGGAGTCTTTGTCTGCCCAAATTTGTGAGGCCAAAGACTCGAGTCGTGAATCTCCCACCTCGGGCGGAGGGGTGTAAGTGAGCGAGTACCTACACAGTATGCGAGCGCTTCTGTTTATGTAATCCAACGAGGGACAAGCGCGGCGTCGTATCTGCAGATTGCAAATCTTCCAAAGAAAGATCGCCAAACTGTTTGAGATACATTTCGAAAGCTTAAACTCCGCATGACTTTTGCTCGGTGTCGCCTATCAAAACGTCAGTCACCAAGACACGAGGGGCCCGCAGGTTTTGATGTTTTTGAATTCTTTGACCCCGGCGATCTCAACGCCCTCGATGCGATCTTGGGAGGCGATGCTCCGCCAGGCATTGGGCCAATGGGCTCCTTTATTTAAGTTGT